TTTTTTTATTATGGATTGAGTGAAAGTTTACAGGGCAGGTCATCAGTTTTACATTCAACAAATCATACACCTTGTTTCATTACAATGATTATAATACAAGTTGTCTTGCAAATTTCTTGGCAGAGATGAGTTGAGTGCCTCCTGTGCCGCCTCACTTTCTTGAAAGATTTCAATTTTTATTCATTCCATCAATTCCTGGTGCCTTGTTCTTTGTCATTTCCTTCAATGCACCTTGGACTTCCTCCTTCAGTATCTTTGGCTCTGGATCATATGCTGTCTCTTGAAACGATTGAACATTAACCATTTCCTTTTGGTATAGCGACTCTGTGTATTCGTTCCATCTTCTGTTGATGCTTTCTGCAGCATTCAATAATTTGCCCAGTGAATCTTTCAATAATGAAAGTTGAGGCTTGAATTTTTTCTTCATTTCCCCCAGCTGGAGAAATGCTGAGCGTGTTCTTCCTTTGTGGTTTTCTGATTCCAGAAAATGCACATTTTGTGGTAATATTTGGCTGTATCTTCTCGAGCTGATCTTTGAAATTTTCTGTTCAGCTCTTGGACCTCCTCATTTCTTCTACTTGCTTTAGCATCTCTACATTGGAGAGCAAGTTTCAGTGTCTATTCTAACATCCATTTTCAACCTTTTCCTTCTTGTCTTTTCAATGACTTTTTGCTTTCTTCATGTGTGATGTTCTTGATGTCATCCCATAACTCTTCTGGTCTTTGGTCTTTAGTGTCTAATGTATCAAATCTGTTTTTCAGATTATCTCTAAATTCAGGTGGGATAGATTCAAGATCATATTTTGGTTCTCGTGGACTTGTTTTCATTTTCTTCAGCTTCAGTTTGAATTTGTATATGAGTAACTGTTGGTCTGTTCCACAGTCTTCCCCTGGCCTTATTTTGACTGATAATATGGAGCTTTTCCATCTTTTTTTTCTGCAGATGTAGTCAATTTTATTTCTGTGTATTCCATCTGGTGAGGTCCATGTGTATAGTCGTCTCTTTTGCTATCTAAAGAAGGTATTTGAAATGAACAAATCATTGATTTTTCAGAATTCTATCATGCGTTCTCCAGCATCATTTCTATCACCAAGGCCATATTTTCCAACCAAATATCCTTCCTCTTTGCTCCCAAGCTTTGTATTCCAATCACCAGTAATGATCAATCAATTCATCTTGATTGCATGTTTGATCAATTTCAGATTGAAGAAGTTGATAGAATTCTTCTGTTTCATCCTCACTGGCTTTAGTGATTGGTGCGTAAATTTGAATAATAGTGGTATTAACTGGGCTTCCCTGTAAGCTCATGGATATTATCTTATCACAGACAGCATTGTACCTCATGACTGATCTGGATATGTTGTTTTTGACGATGAATGCAACACCATTCCTCTTCAATTTGTTATTCTCAGCATAGTAAACCATGTGATTGTCAGATTCAAAATGCCCAGTACCAGTCCATTTCAGGTGACTAATGCCTAAGATATCGATGTTTATGCATTCCATTTCATTTTTGACAATTTCCAATTTTCCCAGATTCATACTTTGTACTTTCCTTGTTCTGAAATTCAGTGGATGTTTACAGCTGTTTCTCTTCATTTTGAGTTGTGCCCCATCAGCAAATGAATGTCCCACGGGCTTTACTTCCATGGGTTTTACTCCATTCGTGTTATCACAGTCAACTCTACTTTGAGGTGGCAGCTCTTCCCCAGTTGCATTTTGAGTGCCTTCCAACCTGAGGGACTCATTTTCTGACACTATTATCTGACAGTGTTTTTCTGCTATTCATAAGGTTTTTAGTGAATAAAGATTCGGAAGTAGTTCATCACTCTTTTTTCCTAGTCTGTCTTTGTCTGGAGGCTCATCTGAAACCTGTTCACCATGGGTGACCCTGCTGGTATTTAAAATACTGGTGCCATAGCTTTCAGAATCACAGCAACTCATAAGCCACGACAGTACGACAATCTGACACATGATTGGTGGCCGCTAGTTTTAAGTGGAAACTGTCACTCTAAATTTCGAGATTTGTGCACATGCATAGTAGTACCCTCCAGGGGAGGGGATGGGGTGTCCATTCACTCAGGAATCCCCTCTAGTCACCAGAATGGAGGTGCACAGACAGCGAGAGACCAATGAACAGATACCAAAAACAAAAGAATGTCCACGCCTGTAAAATGATATAATTTTGTTGTCAAATGCAATGGAGTGGGGCCCAACTCAGTGACTCAGTGAAAGGTTTCTGAATAGAGGCTAGTTGATTTTAACTGCTGACCTGGCAGTCCATATATATGGAGTCCTAGTGTAGCGCTTCATCTCCAGGGACTGGTCCTTTCTGATAATATGTCCAAAAGTACGTGAGATAATGCCTTGCCAGCCTTGCTTCTAAGGAACATTTTTCTGTACCTCTTCCAGGACAATGTTTATTCTTCTGGTGGTTGTTAAGTTCTCCTGAATCAGTTCTGGATCATAGATGTTGTATAGGGTTTATGGGAAGCTGCTGGTGATTTTTAACTTCTGACCTTGTGGTTAGTAGTGAAGTGCTTATCCTACAGCGCCATATGGTAATTTCAATATTCTTCACCAACAATATTCAGTGTTTTATTTTCATCTAATCATTTAAAGTCTTATTTTGTATCAGCTAAAATAGCAACAACAATGAAATTGCATTGTTCTAAACACTGTCCATGTGTTACGAAAGGCAGTAACAATGTCTTTAGTTACAGACTTATTTCCGTTTATGGGCGGTGGGTGTATGCCATTGAATGGACCTTGTATAGGCTTTCTGATGCTGTAAATTATAATCCAGTTTGCTGCCAGGGATCCTTATATTATGGGTGGTGGTGGTTATGTGCTGTGGAGTTTGTTCCAACCTGCTTAGGGTTTCCAAGACTTTAAATCTTTATGGGAGCACAAAGCCTCATCTTTCTCCTGCGGAATGGTTGGTAGTTTTGAACTTCTGACATTGAAGTTAGTAGCCTGATTTGTGACCACTATGCTACCAGAGCTCCTTTATTTTATGGTTATTATTTGCTGTTGTTAAGTGCCATGGAGTCGGTTCCAACCCATAGCGACCCTGTATGAGTTTCCAAGAAACTTGAACCTTGAATTTTAAACCAACTTTGCAGTGTAGCACATTAACCCACAGCTCCACGCCAAAACTCCATTTTATAGGTAGGTAACTTTAACACACCTCCTAGTGGTTGAAGAGGTATTTAATAGTAGAAAGACATTTCCTGTTAGTGCGAATGTTAGTAAAAACAAATTTTTCTGTTCATCCTTTGGGATACTTGAACATTTTCTAAAGATTTGGTTTGGATGTTATTTAAGGATAGGTTGGTCTAGAATAGATACTCTCCTTTTTTGAGGAAAAAATCAGATATAAGCTGTTGTTTGAGTATTTTAATTAAGGAGTGAAATAAAGTAATATAAGTTATTGTTCCTAAAGAGGATGGTGGTGGTGGTGGTGGTTGTGTGCCACCAAGTTGGTTCTGGCACATAGTGACCCTGTATAGGGTTGCTGAGGCTGTAAATCTTTTTGGAAACAGAAAACCTCACCTTTCTCCTGCAGAGCGACTGGTGGATTTGAACTGCTGACATTGTGGGTAGCAGCCCAGCTTGTAATCCACTGCGCTACCAGGGCTCCTTCCTAAAGAGGACATTAAAATTTTTTTTAGGACCTAAAACACTCAAGGAAGTGAAATCTGGTACTTTGAGAGGAACCATTTCAAATTTTTCTTGCTCAAAGATAAAGTGACAGGGAGACTTCTGATTAAATAAAGATAGTCTGAGTTCTACACACTGAGATAGGTATAGCCTCTGTCTAGTGCAAATGTTTAAATAACTTGACTGCTTACTGTAAGACTGAAGGTTCGAGTCCAGCCAGTGGCATCTTGGAAGGAAGACCTGGTGACCTATTTCTCAAAACTCAATAATTAAAAACCATCTGAGCATAATGCTTGGACACACATGAAGTATGGTTCAACTTGTTTTTTGTTTTCATTTCTGTGGTGGTCATAGTGTTAAGCGACTTAGTATTGTTAGAACATAGAAGGCAGGATGGAGCTGAAGAGTTATAATTTTAGTTGGCTGTAATTATGTAAGGATTGCAGTCTTCTACATCGGTGATTGGAGCACTCCATTCATAAGGCCACTTTGCAAAACCATTACTAGTACAAATAGCACTACTTGTCTGATGCCAGTGCTCTCTAGTTGTACAGATGATATTGCTGTTGTTGTTAAGTGCCATTAGGTTGGTTCTTACTCATAGTGACCCTGTATAGATTTTCTAAGGAGAGGCTGATGGGTTTGAACCACTGACCTTGAGGTTAGCAGACCAGGGCTTATCCTACAGGACTCCTAATGTATATATCAACTATCAACACTCATGGAAGCAGCAGTCAGGAAATCAAATGACGTATTGCACTAGGCAAATCTGCTGCACAAGACCTTTTTAAAGTGTTGAAGAGCAAATATGTCAGCTGGAAGACTAAAGTGCGCCTAACCCAAGCCATGGTATTTTCAATAACCTCATATGCATGCAAAAGCTGGACAGTGAATAACGAAGACCATAGAAGAATTGATGCTTTTGAGTTATGGTGTTGGAGGAGAATATTGAAAATGCCATGGGCTGCCAAAAGAACCAATAGATCTGTGTTGGAAGAGGTGCAGGCAGAGTGCTCCTTGGAGGCCAGGATGGCCAGACTTCGTCTCTTATACTTCGGACATATTGTCAGGAGGGACCACTCACTGGAGAACGATATCATGTTTCATGGGGTGGAGGGTCAGATAAGAAGAGGAACACCCCCAGCAAGATGGATTGACCAAATGGCAGCATAAATGGGCTCTGGTGTGGCAACAATAGTGAGGTTGGCCCAGGATTGGGCAGTGTTTCCTTCTGCTGTGCATAAGGTCGCTATGAGTCGGTACTGACTCGAAGGCACCTAACAACAACTACAATGCATATATATTAAGGTAAAATAGTCTATGAAGATTTAAAATATATACGTTTTGGTCTTTGGATTTACTTAGTTAGCTTCTTTCCAAGAAAGATTATTAATTTTCAGGAAGATTATGGATTTGAGACTTAAATTTGCAGGCCTAAATATAGAATTGAAATGATGGTCACATGTAGAAACTAATTTAATGATTATATTTCTTTGATGAAAATACTTGAAATTTATTTAATTTTCCCTGGATTTCATACAGGTAGTTCTTAAATGACTTCGGGAATCACCAGACCCAGGGAAGGGGCTGTGATGCATTATAATTTATCATTTTATTAAATTGAATGATTTCCTAAGGATTCTTATCATTTATCAATAATTAAAGTGACCAGCATTAAGGATACTCTTTAGTTGTAGGGATTTTCCTCTTTCTTAAGATTTTTTCTTTGTTTTCCGGCATTTTCTTTATAATTGATTGATTTAGAATAACAAAGTTTTGCAGATGCCACAAGGTTGCTGGATATTGCCACAGTTCTTTGGGAATGCAAATGATTTTCTGTCAGCTACTAAACTAAAGCTGGAGATTTGAACTCACTCAGTGTTGTCACACAAGAAAGACCTGCCAGTCTTCCTCTGTAACCAAGACGACCTTACCGAATGGTTCTACTCTGTAACACAGGTGGTCGCCTGGAGTTGCAATCAGTGTTTTTTTGTTGTTGTTTTTTTAAACTTATAAAACCATGTATTATAAACATGATAATTTTAATTTTTAAAAAGCAAGTACAATTTTATGCATCTTCCTTTTGTCCTTATACATAATTTAGGTAAGTATTATTCATTAATGATGTTTTAATGTTTATATGCTTAATGACATTGAAACACAAATACTTGGATCTTTTAGGGTGGAATAATTAATGATGGCTCTGAATTGATTGGCCCTGCTGAAGTATACTCGGATAGCTTTGCTACAGGTAGTACAGAAGGTAAGAGATTACACCTTTCCCATTGCGATGGCTTTCATTGCAGAGGCCTATAAATAATATTTGCATTGCAAAAAAGTAAAATGGATGTAGGAATTTGAGAATATTTGATTGATTCTGGATTTTTTTTCTTTACATTTTAATATCACTGATACTGGATGCATTTTAGAGTTAATGATAACTTATATTTAATTGGCAAGTTTTTTTTTCCTAATGGTGATTCATCTTATTGCATTGTAGCTACTGTTGTCTTAGATTCATTGAAATGTTCAGAATTTGTACTGTTTTGTACAAGATATTCTTCATCATTATTGCCTGGCTTTTAGACAATTTCAGGATTGACTTTAAAAGTTTAGTCATTTATCCAGAAAGAGTAAACCCAAGACAGTTTTCATGTTTTTGATGCATTTTAAAATAACAAGTCTAAAAGAAGCAATTTTTATCATTTGAATCACTTTAATTCTAGAATGCTCAATCTCTTATCTTCTATTAAATAAACTGCACTAGGTTTTTCTTTTTCTTTTTTAGTCATTCTAAATTTCTATGAAGATTTAAAATATATATTTCTTGGTCTTTGGATTTACTTAGCTAGCTTTTTTCCAAGAAAGATTATTAATTTTCAGGAATATTACGGAATTAAAAAAAAGATTTGAGGAGAAGAGAAAGGTGGGGACATAGTCTTTAAGAAGAAAATAATTAGATTTATTTGAGGTAGCTTAAGTTAAGTTTCTATAAAGATAAATTAATTGACTAGATACTATTTATTGATATTTTTCTTTAGTAACAGTTTATGTGTGGAAGGCTGCTTAATGACTCTAAAGTGGAACGTGGCCATAATCTCATTGTAGTGATATGTTTTGAGGGTATGCATTAATTTCAGAAGGAACCTTAGTAGCTAAGTAGGTTATGAGTTGGTCTGCTAACCTCAAGGTCAGTAGTTAGAATCTACCATTTGCTCTCTCAGAGAAAGACGAGGCTTCCTGCTTCTGTAAAGATTTACAACCTCAGAGACACAATCACCACCACCACCACTGATTTCATTTGTCAACAGCCACACTGATGTTGTTGCTAAGTGCCGTCGAGTCGGTTCCGACCCACAGTGAACCTGTGTAGGGTTTCCAAGGAGCTGCTGGTGAGCTTGAACCACTAACATTGCAGTTTAAATGGCTTTTTAGTCTGGTGCATGAACCTACAGCGCCACTATTCAAATGAATTCTCATCATGATTTGGTAGGAGGAACAAGTTCCTTTCCGTTATGTGGGCTAGCACATTTGAAACTTTTTTCTTTTAGTGCTGCTACTTCAAGGAGCTCTGGTACCATAATGGTTATGTATCGGGCTGGTAACCTCAACGGCAGTTCGAAACTACCAGCCGTACCACGGGAGAAAGATAAGGCTTTCTGCTCCTGTAAAGATTTATAGCCTCAGAAACCCGGTGCAGGGTCACTATGAGTTGGAACTGACTCCACAGTACATAACAACAGCAACAACTACATTGAAATGCCCTGGTGTGATACTGTGGGCTAATGCGTCAGACTGCAAAGTTGTTTGAACTGCAGGGTTGGTGGTTCAAGCTCACCATCTGCTCCTTGGAAACCCTATACAGGGTCACTATGGGTTGGAATCGACTCGATGGCACTTAGCAACAACAACAAATATATTGAGAGGTAGTTAGTTAGCCTTTTATTGTTTTTCATGGGTCCATGAACAAGCAAAAGCCCATTAATGTTCTGTGTAAAGAAGGAGGGCCACATACTCAGAGGTCTCCCCTGAGCTCCTTCTCAATAGGTCTTTGACTCTATCCAGATTCATCCAAGGTAATGGGAAAAACATCGTGGACAGTAATTTTGTTTTACATTTAAGCATGTTTTCTTTGGGGAGAAAAATCTATTCTATTTGACTTTTTAAAATCTGAGATCTTGCTAGGCTTTGGAAAACTTGTTTGTTGTTGTTATGTACCGTGGCGTTGGTTCCAACAACAAGCCCTGTACAGGGTTTCCAAGGCTGTAAATCTTTATGGGAGCAGAAAGCCTCATTTTTCTCCCGTGGAACAGCTGGTAGTTTCAAACTGCTGTATGTGAGATTAGCAGCCCAATTCATAACCACTGTGCTACCAGAGCTCCTTTTGGGAAACTTAGCCCCTGCCAATATAATTCTACTTCTAGAATTAGTCTTCTTGGAACATCACTTGTCTTATGTAGTGCTGTTATAACAGAAATATCACAAGTGGAATATTTTAACAAACAGAAATGTATTTTCACACAGTTCTGGAGGTTACAAGTCCAAATCCAGGACTCCAGTGTTAGGGGAAAGCTTTCTCTCTCTGTCAGCTCACAGTTTAGGATTCAGGTCCTTGTTTTCTTTAGCATCTGTGGGCCTGATGTTCGTTGGAGATTTCCATGTATCTTGGCATCAACTTTCTGCTAGGCCTAAGCTGTTTCTGAGCACAAGAAAACTAGGTTGAAAGGATTCTCACAAGCCCCGGCTCTTCTTTCTTGGTGGCAGCCAGAACTCTCCTCTGCTGGCATATCTCTCGTAAGATACAAGGTGATGTGGGCTGCACCCCAGGATAACTCGCTGTACATGGGATCAAGGCTGTGGCCTGAGTAAGAGTGTTGTATCCTCTTACTGTCCTCATCCTCTTACAACTGATTGGTTGATCACATCAGATCACATCAAGGGAGATAACTTTACCGTTACATAACTGTCTTACAACTGAATATCAGGATCCAGCCAAATAGATACATATTTTTAGGGGACACAATTTAATCACTGATAATAACTTTTCTAGGATAACCTGATCTTGTGTTAGAGATTTCCAATTCCTAAGAAAGAGAGGAATGGTGTTTTCCCTCTGCAAAATACATAGATGCTATGACATTCAGTGGAAGACAAATAGGAAAGCTAGGGAGATTTGTAGGAAGTACTCAGTGAAGAGAGAGGCACAGTGATTAAGCACTTGGCTGCTAACTGAATGGTTGGCAGTTCGAATCTACTAGTTGCTCAGTGGGCAAAAGATGTCACAGTCTACTTCCACAAAGATTACAGCCTTGGAAATTCTATGGGGCATTTCTGCTCTTAGGGTTGCTGTGAGTTGAAATCTACTTGACAGTAATAGGTTTGAGGTTTTCTTTTTCAGTGAAGAGTACAGTTCTTGGAAAGGCAGGCAATTTCTTTCTCCTTTTGCTTTTTCATGTCATTCAGGAACTGTAGTCCTGGTGTGGCACTGTGAGTTAATGTGCTGAACTGCAAAGTCAGTTTGAACTGCAAGGTTGGTTGCTAACTTGTTACGTGCCACCGAGTCACTCCTCAGAAACCCTATACAGGGTCACTGGGGGTCAGAACCAACTCGACGGTACTTAACAACAACAGCAACAAATATGCTTATGATTCCTGGTGTGCCACTGTAAGATCAGCACTGGACTGTGAACCATAAGGTTGGCAGCTCAAACCTACCAGCTGCTCCTTGGAAACTCTATACAGGGTTGCTATGCATTGGAACTGACTCGGTGGCACTTAACAACGTATGTTTATGATATCCATAATAAGCTTTTATTAATAGCTGAGAGTCAGCCAGGGTGAGAGTAAGGGTAGCTGTACAGAGCTCTTTCATCCTTTTGTTATAATGAAGGCTAGATAAGGAAGGAGCATTATCATTAGGAATGACTTCTTGGACTAGAGTTCAGGTTGTAAAGATGGTTTCATGAATGTTAAAGACAACAAAACCTAAAACGAAGGTGAAGATGTAATTCGTTGTCCAAATTGGGACACTTCTGAGAATGAACGAGGATGGTATTAATAATGACACGAGACAACTGCATCAAGATTACCTTGAACAAATTTGGCTGTACAGGCTACTCTGCCTAATGCAGTTGTTTCAGAGTTTAGCTTGTACATTTCAGAGAGGTAGGTTTTTTTTCTTGAAAGACTGTATTTTCTAGGAATGTACTTTTTTAAGATTGAGAGAAATTGGGGATAGTTCTTTTTAAGAATACAGAAAAGTATTTGACACATAATACTAGCATTTTATTTTGTGAACACAGTTTAGTTTTAATTCTGCAAAAAATGAGCACCAAGCCAAACCATCGTCACCTAGCCTTCTCTGCTCAGCTAGGGTTGATAATCTGTTGCAGTGGCCACACAGAACTCAGACACCGTGCTCACAGTTACGAGGTTTCTAAGGAAAGTTAAAAGGCTACACTTCAGGGTCAGAAATGTTCAGGGCACAGTTCTTCCAGTCAGGACAGCCTCTTCTCAGCCAGCGCCACAGGCAGGCTTCTCTCTGCAGAAGCTTTTTTAGGACTGCTGATAAAACGCCCTCAGGACACACTACTCCACCATGAGCTTCAGCCTGAACACACTTGGCTTTAGCTCCATGGGCCAGCAAACTTAGTGAAGTACCTGGTGGCACCCCACTCTTTAAGCAAGCCTCCTGCCCAGAGTCACTCAGTTTTATTTGCACCATGAACTGCAAAGCCCGCTGCTCTGGCTTGTGCTCTGCCTCTTGATTCTGCTGCTGCTGCTCCTTTGCCACATCTCCAGTGTCACAGCTTTCTGTCATTGGGTCATGAAGGCTTGGTGTGCAGGTATCTTAGGGTACAAAGGATGTGCTCCACTCCTCTGACTCCTCGTCTTTGATGGCAGTGAGATTCTACCTGCTGTTCCATGGGATACAGATGAGGCTTTCTGCTCCTGTAAAGATTTACAGCCTCGGAAACCCTAGGCAGGGCCACCATGATTCAGAACCGACTCCATGGCACACTATCACCACCACTTCTGAGATGTCTTATTTTATACCCATGCTAGAGTTTTAATATCCACAACTGAATCATGGCATCCAGTCAGTATCTTCTTCCACCTTCTCTTAGACCCGTCAGAAAAAGACTTGTTTAGTGGGAGGTACAAAGACTAAGGCTAGAAGAGACCTATTAAACAATTCACTATGTCATGCCTACATTACTGTCTTGAAAACACTGTAATTCATAAAGAATGAAAGAAACATGG